CTTTTGGCGCTCTAGCATTTAATAAACAGAACTGTGCACACATCCCGCGGAAGAACATTCCAACCGGAGCTACTTCTCTAAGTGTATGTCTATGGCGATTCACGCAGGTATGTGTTACTCCGCAGCTGTGACGACCCGGCCAGGCTATATTCATCTGAAAGATTTACACAGACTTCATTAAAGGCATTAGAAACAATAACCATTCTTAAATTAGTAAAAAAGCAGCACTATGTAACTTTTGGCGCTCTAGCATTTAATAAACAGAACTCTGCACACATCCCGCGGAAGAACATTCCAACCGGAGCTACTTCTCTAAGTGTATGTCTATGGCGATTCACGCAGGTGTTACTCCGCAGCGGTGACCAGGCTACAATAGTCCGAATATAAGCACTTATTATAAGTGTACCGTAGTGATTCGGAATAAGACAAACACGCAGGCTGGAAGATGAATTCATGATGTACTCACTCATTATATGCATTTTGCTCATTTTGAACACAGAAAAAGTGACATAGTGCTGCGATTACTTTTTAGTTGCACATTCCCACTTTTAACGGTGAACTATTAGCAGCACTATTAACTATTGTTTTAAAGTAGAAATGCGCTTTGTGTAGATTTCTATCAAAACAAAGTATAGCATTTTAGAGCGTTCATTAGATTGCAATTACAATGCAATGTCATCCAATTAATTCAGATTTAGGCTACTTGTGAAACTGTGTCGGTCTTTATTAAAGAAAATAGTCTCACCGTGAATAGAACCAGAAATAGTTTTTGCTAATTTACATTTACTTTCATTTCGTTGGTCCAGTAAAGCTACTTATCAAACTGACACGCTTAACTTACCGAGATCGCTTGGTTTTTTCACCACTTTGATGTCTTTGTCGGGCAAAGTGAGTTTTTTTAATTTTCCGGCCATTTTCAACAGCTGCCGATTTCTTCGACGTCTTCAGTGTTGTCAGTGCTCTCTACCGTTTGTTTCACTCTTTAAATGTGAAAGTACATTCTGTGTGGAAGTCTTTGCGCCTATTTCTTCTCTCCTTTCGCATCTTGCATTAGTCTGTGGCTTTCATTCACATTTATATTTGCGGTTTCAATAAACATTAATAACATAGCATTCAACAGCCTTATTAAATGTATTGACAGCTCATGCTTAAATAGGCTAACCTAATCCAGCTGCTGCGTAGCCTCATTTAGACATTTACTTTTAGATTCATTCGTCCTCGTTTCTTGTTGTTTCTATCAGGGAGGAGCTACAAGAAAGTAAAAGGCAGATAAGGAATCATGCAGTATTTTAGATATGAAAATGCTTGTGTCGGTGTCTATTTTATCTTCTTCTGTCCGACCTGTAGGCTACAATCTGTCTCTCTGAGGTAGGTCTTTTCTCTTGTATATCCGAAGTCTAAGTCCTTTACAGGATAAGAACCAACACTGTTCTTCTGTTATCATGCTTTGTATTATACAATAAAGACAGACGTTTCTGTTAAGAAACATTCCTCTAGAATTATAACAGCTCTTAAAAATAAAGGTGCTTCAAAAGGTTCTTCAAGCGATGCCATAGAAGAACCATTTTTGGTTCCACAAAGAACCATTCAGTCAAAGGTTCTTTAAAGAACCATCTCTTTCTTACCTTTTTGTAATCTGAAGAACCTTCTTTCGCCACAAAGAAGCTTTTGTGAAACTGAAAGGTTCTTCAGATGTTAAAGGTTCTTTATGGAACCATTTAGACAAAAAGGTTCTTCTATGGCATCGTGAAGCACCAACTTTGTGTGTTTATATGAAATATAATAGACCTGTTCAGGGCTGCACGTTAACTTTTTTTGCACATAGCACTGTTGCTACAGAGGTTGAATGTTTTGTAGCACAGGCCACACAATAATGAAACACATTTTACATCACTAAAAGCAATCACAAGTAGTGCAGTCCATCACTTTTACAGTGACTGACAAAGCACATTAATGTTCCGTACAGGACACACAAAATATAACAAGAAAGGTTTTCAGACAAACATTTCCTTTATTTGCCAAAAACAAATAAATATATTAATCAACATATGAATATTTTACAGAAAACTGTGTTCCGCCCTGTTAACTTGCAGGGGGCTTGTAAGTAACTATTAATGTTTAGAAAAGTCTAAGGTTTATTTATAGTATATAATATATATTTTTACTGAAGAAATGTTTGCACATTGCCCTGATTTATACAACCCCATTTCCAGAAAAGTTGAATAATGCAATAAAAACAATAATCTGTGATTTGCTAATTGTCTTGAACAGCGTCGGCGCCACAGGGGGGCCTCAGGGGGCCCGGCCCGGCCACCTCATCAGAAAGCGGCCGGCTGGGGCTAGAGGAGTGGCTATGAACAAAGGCGGAGTTTCTCCGCGTCTGGAGAGCGTTAGCGCCGCGGATCATTTCATAAAGTTAACAGCTATAACACCAGCATTAAAGACTTTTAAAATAAGTTTAGTTCAAAACTCACTTTCAGACAGCAGCGAGTGTTTGAAATAACTTGATCCAAAGTGTATTATGATCACCATACAAGGCAGAAATATTTATAAGCGATGCAAAAGACTATGCACGCTAGCCATTAACGTTACCATAGTAAACATAAAAACGACCGCTTGAAGAAATCAGACATCAGCTTCTTATTCTCTATCACAATCGTGTATTTACTTAGTAACATATTTGATCTGTCATAAGTCTCGTCTCGAGAGTTTAGCTCCGCGTATGTCATAAAAATATAATAATGTTTTTTGTTCGGGAGCTGTTCAAGACAATTAGCAAATCTATATTAAAAATATAGAAATTATCATTCTTTCTAAATGTGATGTATATACTGTGACTACAAATCAACAGTAACAGACTCAACTGAATAAGTAAGTAGGCTATGTTCATACCACTTTATTTCTGTGTGACTAATTTTCAATCCTGATAAATTAATTAATTATGATCAATGTATAACTTATTATTGTAAAACATTGATGCTTTTGGATTTAAATATTTAACAAAGCATGCAAACAAACGGCCACTTTTATCATGTTCGTTTTGTGATCGCGCTAGTTCCAGTGACTTATTTCTTATTAGTTTTCTGATAACTTCTCTTTGTTGGTGAAATGATGGGGTTGCGTGACGTTGTTCGTGAGAGGCGTGTAAAGGGCGGGTTTTAGTGAAGCACAGCAGAGCTTCTGGCCCGACGGTGGAAACGCAGCGTGATTTTGGCCTCGGTGCTACAGGTCCGAGGCTATTAGCCCACCCGGCCTATTTAAAGCACTGGCTCGCACTGGCCCAGCAGTGGAAAAGCGGCTACTGTGCCCCCTCACCTGGGTGGGTGTAGGTAGGCTGTCAAATACATGGATTAAAAGCAAAATGTTTTCATTTCAGTTCGTTCTTTGCAAAAATATTTTTTTCGTTCAGGTTCCAGAGCGAAATAAAATATTCTTGAGTCTTCAAACCGCTAACACTTAGCAGTTTCGAATTATGCCTTTACTGTATGTTTCAGCTGTTTGATCGCGCCGGCGCCTCACGCTCACATTATATATTCACTGCTGTGCAGCGCCCACTGCGGCACAATTATGCTCATTAAGATCCCGCCCCCCCATCCATATTGGAACGCGTGTGAAGTACATAGCTTCAAATATCGCGAATATGGAAACATTTGTATTTGTGCCGAATGAGAGAGGTAGGCTATGAACCCAACTTTACTTTCAGTTTCGCTATAATTTAATTTGTTTCGGCTTGTTTATAGCTACACTGTTAAAAAAAATTACCGTAAAAAAACGGCAGCTGTGGTTGCTGGAATTTTACCGTAAAAAATACGGTAGCAACATTTTAGGTTTTACAGTTTTAACTTAAATTTACCGTAATTTACCATAATTTTAAATTTAACGTTAAATACCGTAATTTCATTAACTGATATAATGTTAATACACCAACCTATTGAAGTACTGAAGTAATTTATTCATTAGAATTATATTTTTTTATTCTTGTTCTGTTCTGAATACGGTTAAATTTAAATAATTTGTTTTGGAATGAGGGGAACTAATAGTCTTCACTGTTTTTTTTTTTACATTATAACATTACACTTTATGTAGGCCTGCAGGTATTATTTCTGAATGTAATAAAATGTGACTTACAGGCTACGTGATTTATCTGTTTTTTTTTCCCCTCTCAAAAATGTAAAATTTATGTTTAGCGTGTTTTTTAAACATGCAGCAAACGAAAGTAGGTGATCAATCAGTTAAAAATTCTTACTGTCAATTAACAAATTTACATTAGTATTCTTATGCTTGGCTTCCCAGATAGCAAGATTCCCAGAGTCTGGGCCAAATCTGGCTTAATTCTGGCGTTGTTCCTGTTCTGAACAAAGAAAGTTGTAATTGATGTCATAAATACAAAAGCCTGATTTTTTGTTTTAATTGTCAGAATCTATTGTACATAACAAAAATAAATAAGTAAATAAAAAATATCACAGTCTTGATTGCAAATGTTTGTGATTTTTTTTCCTGTATTTATGACATCAATTACTACTTTCTTTGTTCAGAAACGGAAGTAACTTAAAATGTTATTTGTGTGTTGTAGCCTACTTTTCATATTTTTATAGCTGCAAAACTAAAGCGCTTCCATGTAGGCTAGGCTATGTTATTAAATTCATTTAAAAGTTTCGTATTTTTCCCGTTTTATTCGTTGCATCTAAAAATGACTTTATCTAGGCCTGCATATCTACACTAGTAGCCTACTATCAATCAATATTCAAAAACAGGTGCCGGTGTTGTTTTGTTTTTTTTTTCAAATAAAGCTTTAAGAGAATTTAACAAATCACAGATTTTAGTTTTAATTGTATTTTACAAAATGTCTGAACTCTTCTGGAAATGGGGCTGTACCTTTATCAGAATTCTAGTCACTTATTCAATGGTGCATATATCTATATCTGAAACTCAATGTGACAAACCTTTCTAGCTCGCAGAAGACACCACCCTGGTTGGCTCACCTGATTTAAAAGTGAGAATATGAGATAATAAGATTGAATTTAGGAACATGGAAATGAACGAGGCTGCAGACCTGGAAGTTAATTTGTATTTTGTAGTACTTGGAATACTGACATTACTTGCGACAGGTAAGTTCAATTATATGTTTTAATTCAATTAAATTTTTACAGTTATTTACTCACCCTCTTGTTGCTCCAAACCCATATGTTTTTTTTTTTGGTGGAAAACATAATACATTATAAGGAATGTTGATGCTGCTCTTTTCTTTAATATAATCATATTTGATGTTTAAAAATTCATTATTATTATTATTATTATTATTATTCAAAATATTATTATAATTTTTTTTATAAAACCCTTCTGATGAGTTCATAATTGAATCTATTCCATTATGCAAAAAAAAAAAAAAAAGAAGCATAATCTGCTCTAATAACCTATTTTATTAGGGTTTGAGAAAATTATTACATTGTGAACATTACATTTAACTTTTTACATTATGTGCAGTCATTCAATATTTTAAGCAGGTATTGTTTTGTGTTTAACATATACTATTCAGCAATGTTTCCATTCAAATTATTTTCTTGTTTGTTGCTAAAACGGTTTACTTGTTTTATTCCCCACAGTATTATCTGTGATTTGCTGCCGAAAGAGAAAACGTCACAGAAATGAGCCAAATGATATTCCCATTTCAGTTATAGTGGACAGTGATAAGAAGCAAAAAGAACAAGAACATCTACTGACAGAAGATACTGATGGTAAAAGCACATGCACAGTAAAACAATCACGCCCCCTCACTCAAGATGAGTGTGAAAATAGATTTTATTTATGAAATATAATGGTTTATTTAAAAAAAAAATACAGTTGACAAATGCATAGGCTTTCTAGCATTAATATGATGCTACTATAGCAACAATTTAGGACAGTCAGTTTCACTAAGTCGCGTTTTAATTGATCTGACAAACAAACTTCCCGCTCAAGCGGTTCAACTAATGCAGCACTACTGAGTAAGCTAAAGGTATGATTAAATAATTTTTTAATGTTTAATAGAGGGTTAGATGGTCATAGTTAATTGATTATTTCGCTGTATTGTTATTGTTTGTTGCTGTTCAAGTTGTTCTAACTTAAAATGATGCATCTGTTAAATGGGTCGCAATGAATGTGTTATGTCAGGGAATCGGTCGCGATAAGCTTGTGTTTCATTGTAAAGCAGACACAATTAAGTATTTCTGGTGGTTGTGGTGGTATCACTTGTCTGTATTTGTGGTAAAACTGCTGCCTAAGACATATTATTTCCTGGATGTCAGATTTTTGAATTTGTTGCCTATGCGATTTTGTTTTATTCAATAGCTACTCTGCCATCTGTATTTGCTAAGTACCTTTTAGTAGGGTCATTCACTCAGAACGCATTTTTCATTCCACTGCGGTACTTTTCCATTGTATTTCAAAGTAAATGCGCTACGGATGTCTTTGAATTTGTGTTTGAATGCTGCACTCTCGTCTCAGGTTTTTTTAGCAGCTTCTCGCGCATTAAATACATCATTCTAAAACATGGTGCTCAAGTTCAAAGAAATCCAGCTTCTAAAAACACGTCACTAGACCTTGCGCTAGAGGTCTGCGCGGGACTGTTTTTTTAGTCCCGCTCCCGCAAGGTTCTATTCAGCACCCACCTGCTCCCCCTATACAGGTGCATCTCAATAAATTGACATCTTTCATTTAAAATTATAGGCTAAGCAAAATATAAACAAAACCGAGTTGAACGTCCTTCAAGGACAGCGCATCCACACTTTGCTCCATCCTTATTCTGCTCCGTCACTCATCGACAACCTGCCTGTTCTGTCTGAGGGCCGTATATTCACCTCAGGTTCAGCCTGCTCTGAGCATCATTATGCACATTCTGCGCACAGACCACGCAAATAAAACGCATGACGTTTAAAGCATGCGTGCTGCGCATGCATAACAGTCCTGAGTGCAAGCTGTACCGGTGGTCAATAAGAATAAAGTGCAGATATGCTGTTCTAAATGGACGTCGGGAACGGGATATTGTTAGACCGCCCGCTCCCGTTCAAATTACACCAGAGCTACCGCCTTTTATTCGGGAATTTAATCCTGCGATGCAAAAAAATCCGGTCGGGTCCCGCGGTTACCTCAGCCGCCACCTCATCAGTGCTGCGCTGGCACCAGCTCTGAAAACAATGTCTGTTTCAATGTATCCACAATCAACACACTCTCATGAACATCAATGGGTAACTTATTTAAAATTTTATGTTCCAATGTCGTGAATTATGTGTTAAAATGAAATAAATAAATAAATAATTTAATTAGTTTAAAATATAAAATAAATATACAATTTACAATTTTGTGAAACTATATAGGCTATAGAGACTAAAACCCTGCATATGTACAATATGTACAATGTACACTAACCATTTCTTAAAACATTGACTATGCCCTTCAGCTTAGTGGTTCCTCATTTTCCATTGGCATTGTGGATGAGGGACCCCACAATCATGTAGTGGGCAGGCATCCCAGTGACCTCAGCGCTCTCAAGCCCAGCTATCTTAGAGGTTCTGCCACCCTCTGCTGCCCTTCTGGTAATGGCATTCACCATGTTGCGTGTATGGGCTATACACTCTTTTGAGGCAGCAGAGTCCGCTTCAGACCATGAGTCCACTCCAGAGCCTGCTCAAGTCTATGAATCTGCTCTAGAGCCAGCTCCAGTCCTCGAATCCAATCCAGAGCCCACTCAAGCCCTAGAGCTCAGTCCTGTTTTGGCACCAGCCTGTGAGTTTACTGCCTGTTCTGTTTTGACCATAGTTGTCACATGTGAACCCTCTGCCAGTCCTATCATGGCTAAAGAGGCCGACTCTGAACTCACAGTCTGCCCTATCACGGCCAAGGAGACCAATCATAAACTCTCTGTCTGTTCTGTCTTGGCCAATTGGCCTGTCCACGTCTCTGCTCCGCCATGGCCTCCTGACCTGTGGTGGTCTTCTGATCCACAGACTTCACCTTGGTTACCTGCTCCACATTGGTCGCCTGCTCCATCGGCTCCACCCTGGTGGTCATATGCTCCACCGTGGGGATCCTCGGTCCTGCCGGCTCCGGCCTGGCTTCCTGCTGCGCTGGCTCCGCCTCATTCTTCAGATCCTCCACTGTTCCACAGTCCACCACTGCCACGGCCAATGGTCTTGCCCACTGCTCCACGGTCTAGACCTGCCATTGCTTCACAGTCCAGGTCCACCACTGCTCCATGGCCTATGGTCTTGCCCTCTGCTCCACAGTCCAGGACCGCCACAATGCCATGATCCAGGTCCAGTTCCCCTTCGTCACAGTGGCTTTGTAGAGACTATCTACTAACACAGAATACCGGACCATCTTGCACCGGTTTGGGATAGGAATTTCTACTGTATGCATAAGTACAAAAGCAAGTTCTGATGCCAAAGTTTATTAAAGTGCCACAAGGAAATGTTTTGAGAGATATTGTTTATGGTTTCAGAGACAAATGGGGTTTCCCCTAGTGTCTCGGAGACATTGATGGCACCCATGTGCCCATAATAGCACCTCGCAAAACCAAGGCTGATTTCTACAATCGCAAGGGTTATTATTCAGTACTGTTGCAGGCTGTTGTGGAGCATAAGCTGCAGTTTTGGGATATTAATGTTGGATGGCCTGGAAAGGTGCATGATGCACGTGCTTTTGCAAATTATAGCCTTTTTAGAAAAGGACAGTCTGGGAGGCTTTTTCCAGCATGGACTGAGGATTTCCATGGTGTACCTGTACCATTAACAGCTGATGCACTGCTATATGTAGCTTATGGAGAAGTGGACCAATCTTACTTCAAAAGACAGAACAAGAATGACTCAAGTTACCACTTCCTTCAACGCTAATTGAACCAAATGATCCTGAAGCAAAGAAGGAAAGAATTAACGTCAATGTCATCATAAAGGAAGATCACTTTAGTCTTAAGTCCCTGATGCACCATTATTCATCCTGGAACCATTTCTTAAGAGCTGTTGAATGGATTCTCAAATTTAAACAACTACTCCAAACCTTGTGTATAAAAAGGAAAGAAGTACTTAACACTGTCGTACAGGTATCTGAATATGACAAGCAGAGTCTAATAAACAAAGAAATGAACAAATACAAAGCATCACTCAAAGCATCCAATATTTGTAATGATGACCTTAAGGAAGCTGAGTCTGCAATTACTTGCTATTGTCAAGGTCAAGACTTTACAGAAGAGCTGTCGAGTGTTAAAAAGGGCCTTAATGTCAAGAGGGACAGCTCTGTTTTTAGATTGGACCCCAGGATACAAGATGGTTTGCTGAGAGTGGGTGGACGATTCAGAAACTCTGCAATGCCAGTCGAAACAAAGAATCCAATAATCTTACAAAAATAATCAACATATCTCCAACTTGTTGCTCAAACACATTCACCAGCAAACAGGACACAGTGGAAAGAATTATATGTTGTCATTATTGAGACAAAAGTATTGGATTCCCTGTGCAAACTCTTTAGCAAGAGAGATTATTTCTGAGTGTGTAACCTGCAGAAGACATAGCGCAGCCATGGGAGAGCAGAAGATGGCAGATTTGCCTAAAGATCGTATAACACCTGATCTACCACCATTTACGTATGTTGGTGTTGATTATTTTGGGCCAGCTGAAGTTAAAAAGGTATGTGATCTGGATAAGAGATATGGAGTCATCTTTACATGTCTTGTAAGTCGAGCTGTACACTTGGAAGTAGCTCATTATCTTGACACGGATTCATGTATAAATGCACTCAGAAGATTCATTTGTAGAAGAGGCCAAGTTAAAGAAATTAGATCTGATAATTCCACAAATTTTGTTGCCCCAGAAAAGGAACTGAAGCTGGCTCTGAAAGAGTGGAATCTAGACAAGATTGAGAATGCTTTATCACAAAGAGGAGTAAAATGGACCTTCAACCCACCTGCTGGTTCACACCATGGAGGGGCGTGGGAAAGATTAATTCACCTAATTGAAATGATCCTTCTGTATATCACAAAGCAACAGACTCTTAATTATGAGAGTTTAGAAACAGTTATGTGTGAAGTGGAAGCTATATTAAACAATCGCCCTTTAACAAAATCTTCTGGTGACCCAAATGACTTGGAACCACTTACGCCCAATCACTGATTACAACTGAAGATGCAACCTAATCTTCCACCAGGAATATTTAAAAAGGATGATCCTTATTCAAGGCGAAGATGGAGGCAAGTTCAGTACATTGCAAACCTCTTTTGGATCAGATGGATAAAGGAGTACCTTCCTATGATGCAAGTAAGGCAAAAGTGAAACACTGCTAGAAGAAACTTCAAAGTAGGAGATATTGTGTTGGTAGCAGACCCAAATATACCACGAGGACTGTGGATCATGGGCAGAATCTTAGAATTAAGGGCAGATTCCAAAGGATATGTCAGAAGTATGTTACAACAAATGAAATCTAACAAGATTGAAAGACCAACCAGCAAGATCTCCTTATTAGTTGAAGCATCCGAAGAAGCACAATGAGATGTACGAGAAGTACAAGTAGAATTAATATTAGAAATTATTAATATTGATTTTTTTTTTTTTTTGGCTCCATATTTTTGTTTATTGTTTATTATATATAAAACAATAGGAGCCAGTGTGTAGGAGCCAAATTAAGAGTGTAGCCCTTTAAGGAACCTTGCAGGAAGTAGCTATTAGCGACACCATTTGATGGCGTCACTGGCATTGCCAGTGTTAGACAGGGGCATGCTACCTGAGGACGCCAAGCCGATACAGTTTTTCAACGGGAAGAAAATTGCTTAGTGTCGCATTTTATTTCTTTCTTGATACTCTTAGGAATACCATGGTATACCCTTTTTTTATTTGGTATTGCTTTTTATATAATTACAAGTCAGTTAATCAGCAGATTTAAAGTGCAATTTTATACTTACCAATAATGTCAAGCAACTTCAAGAATCTAAAAAACAACAAATAATTGGCACTGTAAGTAAACCTTCCTTGTATATAACTCAAATGCTTGGCTGAGTAGAACATGGCAGAACTCCATAACAGTTCTCTTTAATTTTAAAGCACTTCTCGAAGCAATTTAGACACCGCTGTTGTGCTACTCGAGCCCGGTGTTTTGGCTGCTCCTACAATCTGCACATTATTTCTTGCCATCCATCCCTTTATATTGTCACATTTCTCTTTCATATATTTTGCTTGGCTTTCAGGTTTGGTCACCGTTATTTGTAACGTACTGTAACAACTTCATCTGGCCATGTTGACAGCCCTCCCTCCATGTCTCTGATGTTAGCATTCACTTTTGTCAAGTTTGGTGTGCATAGCTAATGCATTATTAGCTATTTCCAATATCATTTTCTGTAACTAAATTTTAAGACTTTGAGTTTTCTGAGTTTCGCTATCATAATTAAATATTTTGATATGCAAAGAGATTTGTTATCAATTACTTTATTGTTGTAATTAAAAACCAATGTTATTTTATTTATTTTTTAAACTACAATATAATAAGATTTGCTCTCAAACTCAGTTTGTTTAATTTAATAAAAAAGCCAAAAAAGTAACTCAATAGGTTAAGAGGTTTTAAGAAAGACAAACAATGCAATATTCGAGTAGCAGTCAATTAAAATAAAGTCAGGGCAACATGATATGTTTTAGGCAGAATGAAACCCCCACAAACTAATAGCTCTCATATAAAATAGATTTATATTATAAAAAAATGAAGTGAGTCCAGTTTGCATTAAAGGAATAGTTCAAAATTTTTCACTGACAAAGCTATATGATCACTGACTTCATTTCCACCTGTTATCAAGATGGTCATCTGATCACAAGTGGTTAGCATTCAATAAAGGCGGTAACAGGATCCAAATTGCCACATACACAGAGGTAGACAAAAACACATACGACCACATTGCATTTGGAGCTTTGCACCACATGGAAATAGGGCCACAGACTGTTATTCACTCTTAAAGTTAAAACATTAAGGTAGATCATGATGAATAATATGGATTAGAATCAGGCTATTTGTCAGTACAAACATTCTGCAATCCTCATATCTTACGCAGGAAAACATGAATCTGGACCCAGAACCACACAACGCAGTCAATGTGAAGGTGAAGAAAAAGAGGAGAGACAGAATCTAGAGGAAGAACTAAGAAAAGAAAAAGAGGAGATACAGAATCTAGAGGAAGAACTGAGAAAAGAAAAAGAGGAGAGACAGAATCTAGAGGAAGAACTGAGAAAAGAAAAAGAGGAGAGACAGGATCAAGAGGAAGAACTGAGAAAAGAAAAAGAGGAGAGACAGAATCAAGAGGAAGAACTGAGAAAAGAAAAAGAGGAGAGACAGAATCAAGAGGAAGAACTGAGAAAAGAAAAAGAGGAGAGACAGAATCAAGAGGAAGAACTGAGAAAAGAAAAAGAGGAGAGACAGAATCAAGAGGAAGAACTGAGAAAAGAAAAAGAGGAGAGACAGAATCAAGAGGAAGAACTGAGAAAAGAAAAAGAGGAGAGACAGAATCTAGAGGAAGGACTGAAAAAAGAAAAAGAGGAGAAAGAGGAGAGACAGAATAAAGTTCTAATTTGTTGAGATAGTGAATTGGTGGGTTTTTGTTAAATGTGAGCCAAAATCATCACAATTAAAAGAACCAAAGACTTAAACTACTTCAGTCTGTGTGCATTTAATTTATCTAATACACGAATTTCACAATTTGAGTTGAATTACTGAAATAAATGAACTTTTCCACGACATTCTAATTTATTGAGATGCACCTGTACTTCGGATTTTACTCGTACGCGAGGGTCCGTGTACACTGCGCGTGATGTAAATTACATCACCAAAATATAATGTATAACGAGTGGTTCCCTGCATTATTTTAGTAAAACGTTTTGTGATTACAGTATTGAGCTCTAATGCGCCATTAAAATGAACAGCGAAAGTAACAAAAGCTTATACAATACATTTTAACAGCTATAATTAAGTGTGGAAATAACTGAAGGAAATATCTGTTTGCTAAATGAAGCCAACTAACATGATTCATATTATCATTATTACTATTATTTTGTTTCTGTACCCAATATTAAAAAAAAATTACAAATTCTGTGAAAATACAAGTATCGGTATCGGCGAGTACCAAAAATGAAAGTATCGGTATCGGATATTTTAGTAAAAAGTGGTATCGGTGCATCCCTACTATTTTCCTGTTTGACATTGTAAAGCTGCTTTGACACAACCAGTATTGTATAAAGCGCTATACAAATAAAGGTGACTTGACCTGACTTGTGTAAACACAGTTGGCAATAAAGCCATTTCTGACTTCTAATGTTTTGAACCAGACACTTTCACAAGAAAGTCATTTCATCTCCCAGTCTGTAAATCAAACATCCATACACCTATATGATAACTCTCTATTTCATGCTTCCATTTTAAAAACATTAATATTAAATCACTTTGTTGAATTGATTTTGAAGGACACATTGGATTAAGAAATCAGGGGGCCACATGCTATCTGAACTCAGTGCTGCAGACACTTTTCATGACAGAAGATTTCAGAAATGCTGTGGAAAGGTGAGATTTTTTATTGTATTGGTGATCATTAATACTGATGAATAAAATATTCAGTTATAAGTGCTCTGTTTTTCAGGTTGTTCAAACCAATTGATGTTCACATTGCACAATTATTTATTGATTTAAAATCTCCAAAGGGAAGAGTTGCCACCACTGAGAGAATCACATCTGAACTAAAAATTAATGGTAGGGTTTGTATTTGTCATTCACACATAAACTTTTGAAATGAAAATGTCATCAAATTTAATGGTAAATTTAATGTTGACTTAAAAAAAAAGAATAATGTTGTTATATTATTGTCTAAAAGTGTGCATATTATTTCTTCAGTTCATGAGCAGCAGGATGCAGCAGAATATTTCCAGAATATAATGAACATGGTGAAGCCAGAGATGTCTAAGGTGCTCAGATCTTGCAAATATTATTTAAATCTTTAATAAAAGTGGTTTGGCTAGATTGTGCTATTTGATTGACATTACAGGGCTGATGTTGACAGTGTAAATCTATAGAAATATAGTCTATTGTGATTGATAAAATGGTGAAGGACATCTTTTGGTTAAACATTCATTTAAAAAACATGCTTTGCAAAAGATAAATACAGAATAATGTCAGTTTACACAAACATATTTTCAGGTATACCAGGGAGAGTTGGAGCACAGAACCATGTGTAAAAATCCAGGAAAGGAGCACCCACTTGTAACACGTCATGAATCCTTTTACATTATTCCCATCTGTATGGAAACGTATGACATGGACTCTCCCATAAACATGGTAAACCTTTTCAGAGGAGTGATACTTATGCCGCTCCAAAACTTCTACTAAAATTCACTGTCCAACATATTAAAGAGCTTGTAAATATCATATTTATTCAGACATTACACATTCAACTGCATCATGTATCAGATGTCCAAATAAAATTTTATATTCGTCCATTCATTTTTGGATTCTAGTAATAAATAAATAAATAATATCAGCACTATTCATTATTATTTCAGCAAAGCTATTTTGATTCATATTTTGAGCCAATCAAGACATGTGAAGATGACCGAGTGAAATGTCCAACTTGCAAAGAGCTGGTGAACACGGAAATAGTGAGTTTCAACTTGCAAATGGGTTATAAAAATATTAGCTTAATGTATTAAATGTTATATTTCACACTATGACTGGACACATTATTTTTCATATATTTATTGCATTGTTATACACAATAGACTTTAGAGTTTACATTATTTTACTACATTTTGTAGAGCAGAAGCAGTCACACAGATAATGTTCTGCTATGCTTGAGGATGGCAGATTACTAAAACGTACATTTATAATAAGCTGTTTTTTTTCCCTATTCTTTCAGACATGTAATATACATAAACTTCCTCCAGTTCTGGTTGTGCAGCTGGAGAGATTTCAACTGGATTATTACAATAATTACAAGAAGAACACATCTGAAGTGGAAATTCAGTTCCAGTTATCAGTTAAAGTATGTTGAATTTGTTTAAATGAGGGATTAAAAATGTAATTAAAAATGAATGTAAAGCCATTAATCCTATCATGTCTTCAGTGTGGGATAATTCACTCAAAACCTACTGAAGAACTGACAAGACATGAAGCTGATCTGAATGTTTTCACCAGCAATTGCACTCATTTACATTTAATCATGTATGAGATGCTTATGTCCAGAGCCACTTACAAATGAGCAGAATAGAAGCCGTTAAACCAACAAAAGAGCAACAATATGTAAGTGCTGTGACAAGTCTCAGTTAGTCTGGCACAGCACATGTAGGAAGTTTTTTTTTTAAAGGGGTCATCGGATGCAAAATTCCCTTTTGTTGTTGTTTGAACATAAATGTGTTGGAAGTGTGTGTACACATCCATCCTATAATGATAAAATCCACCCAGTGTTTTTTTTTTTTAATCCCCTTTCTCAAATCAGGCTGTTCTGAGGTTCCTGTCAGAATGACGTTTAAACAGAAAAAAAATAGAATAGAAATAGAATAGAATTTGTTAGTATTCATGGGTCACGTGTTGACAAGGTGCATCTTTAGCAGTTTCTTGAAAATGCACAAGATTCAGATGCTTGGATTGAGTCAAGGTCAGGGCAAGCAGCAGGGAACAATGAAGGTAAAGGTCTGTGAAAGTAATTTTATGCCTCTTTGAGATGGTACCACAATGCGCCGTTCACTTGCAGAACACAAGCTTCTGGAGGGCACATAAATCTGAAGCAGTGAGTTTAGGGTGCAGAGCCAGTGGTTGTTCTGTAGGCAAACATCAGTGCCTTGAATTTGATGCGAGCGGCTATTGGCAACCAGTGGAAAGTGATGAAGAGAGGTGTGAAACGGGCTCTTTGGCACTTTGAAGACCACTCTCGCTGATCCAGAATGCTTTTTGTTAAGTAATATGCATTATATGTGGTAAAAAGTGTTCAAAATATTAGGCAGGTGGTTGTGGCTGATTGGTTTTCATAGTTATTATAGTCACATTCACTCATTCAATTATTTGTTAACTTTTTAATTAGTTAATTATTTAATTACATTTCACTTTTATCCAAAGGTAGTCATAACAAAGCACAAAATATTTGGATGCATTTCCATGAGAATGGTTTTACAAGAGATTTACACAAAAAGTCATTCTGCTCATGTTTCATGAGGCTCAATAAGTGAAAGTAACAAATAAGTGTCATTCTGTGCTTCCTTAGGATGACAGTGGAGTTCAACACAAGTATGATTTGTATGCTGTAGTGAAACATACGGGATCCTTTCACAGTGGACATTACTATGCAGTCATCAAGTCATTTGAGGATCATCAGTGGTATGTGTTCAATGACAGCTCCGTGCCCAAGGTGAACTTTTTTTTTTAAATATATTTTGGCTACAAATGAGTCCTGCTATTCAATATGCATTTTGGTAACACTTTACAATAAGTTGCCATCTGTTAACTTGAACAATACTTTTACAGCATTTGTTAATCATAGTTGATGTTTATTTGATTTACTATGGGTAAGGGGTGTCCTTAGGCATGATGCGAAGCAGAGTAAACCTCCTTACCCATGGTAAAATTACTGTAATTGCTGCAATAAAATGGTCACCACATGACAAATGAGAGGAGGCAAATGTTCATCATGTAACCAGAACCAAAAGGACAGAGCAGGCACAGGAACAGACAAGAATGAGGTAGAGGAGATGATGATGAATTGTAGAGCCCAAGTGTAGTTTAATTTACAACATGCAGTCATTCAAACTGGAAATTTGACCAATCAGATAACGACTTCGAAATTCCTGAAGTGTTTCCAATTTTGAGTGCTGTATGCATCAGATGTTCAGCCAACGGTCCGTGGGTGTGACATCTGAAGCCGAGACTAGTGTATCATAGCCTTAAACAAGAGGTACATTTGACTTCAGCTGCGGCTTGTCTTACCGATTTGCATGGTTTACCGGATACAGTCGGAGGAGTTGAAAAGAGAGCCACAAACCAGACACTATAACCTGCATCAGTTATGGCAGATCCTGCAATGTTTACATTGCATATGAAGTAGATACAGTGCCTGTGTGTACAGGAGTAAAGTCAGAGATAATATTATTTAAATTCCAATTAAGGGGACAGTATTTTAATTAATTTTGAATAATTTTAAATGATATGAAAAAAAAACACATGCAATACTAACATTGATATATAAGATTGACATTATAAAAAGAGAACTCTATTATTATAAACAGTATGGAAAACATTTCTAAATGACATGCACTGCTTCATGTCAAACACTGACTGGAGCAGCACTGCTTGAAGTTGAACTAGAGGTCTGCACAGACTTTAAACTGAAGGCCGAAACCGACCCGACATGACCCCGAGCGGCACTGTTAAATTTAGAGCCCAAACCCGACCCGAACCCAAAATTGTTTTATTTCACACGAATAGCCACACTTTTGAAATATGCTGTATTTTAATAACTGCATGCAACAGTCAGTAAACAAATACATGTAAAGAAACGGTTTCATCAAAGCTAGCAGCCAGTTCAGCACACAAGGCAAAAGAAAAAAGCACTTACCAAATATGAAACTTTACGAACAACACGCGTAACGGTCAGTCACATAAATTCCGCAGAGGTCTTGAATGGTTGTAATAACAAGATCATAATTCTTCCACTGTGCAGTTTTCCTTGTCTGATGGCTGAATTGCATTCATTTCTCAGAATTTTCTAGCTAATGTGTGTGTGCTGTTTGCCGTGATGTGAGAGAGAGACCGCTTCGTTTTAAATATCCACCTTATTTTTCAAGTTATTATTCCCGTTAATGTGTCTGGCTTCCAGTGCTTCCAGCTATTTTTAGCTGTACAAAACAGCTTGTTTTGCTGCTTGATATTGCAAACTGGTGTGTCTTATTACCATATTAATTTAATCTATTATCTTAATTATGAACACACTGGTTTGTAGCACAAGTATTTTTGTTACTTGTTATTTCCCTACAGCGGCTAATAAACTGGACGTCTCGCCCATTCACAGAAAACAGCTTACTTTCACGTTGAAAAATAAGGTGGATAGGTTTTACAGCAAAACGGCACCCACACATTATATGTAAGGGTAATCCACGGCTACCATGTGCCTTAAAAGATTTAATGCACAAATTAGAGGCAAAATGTAACAATTATGGCCTTTTTCGTCAGTTACATTTACATTTAATCATTTATCAGACGCTTTTATCCAAATGAGGACAATAAAAGCAATCAGACCAACAAGAGAACAACAGTACACAAGTGCTGTGACAAGTCTCAGTTAGTCTAGCACAGGACACATAGCAAGGAGAATAGAATACAATAGAGTAGAATAGAATAGGAAAGTGCTAGTATTAATTGGTCAGATGCTGACAAGAAAGTTTTTTAAACTGGCTGAAGACTCAGGTGCTCAAATTGAGTTATGGCAGTTACGACTTCTCCTTTTTAAATCAGACACAGATGAAGTAATGTGGTAATACCATGTTTATTTTAATGAAATAATTATATTATTTATTGGAATTAATTATAGAGAGAGAGAAGGATGACAGTTGCGTATGTGAAATACCTGTGTCTGTGCGTCTCTCTACAAACAGTGAAGCTGAGTTTAGTTACTTCAAAAACAGCGATTTTACCCCCTCGTTGCTGAGAAATATAATGTAGCGAGTCAGTATCAAAGCTATTTTATTAATAAAAGTTTCTGTGCTCCACATGCACAACCTCCAATCTCTGTGTGCAAGTGATGTGTGTGTACGTGCGCATCAATGAAAGAATCGTATTAAATATAGTTTTACTTTAGCTACAAACCCGACCCGAAACCGAAGCTATTCACTAACAGAACAGGAATTATGAATTTAATCATTGTTAATTAACATTAACCAAGATTGATAAATGCTTCTTAAAAAATATTGTTCAGTATTACTTTGTGATAGCTACATTTGCAGGTGTTAATAAATACAACTAAGTTGTGTTACTTGTATTTTCATGTTGGAGTTGGATCCAATCAGCTTGGATTTGTATAATTCATTTTCTGTCAAACTGTGTAAAGTGATAAATTAATTATATACCATAGAAAACAATGAATGACTTATAAATTCTGTCATTATAAACTTATGATAGCTGTATGAATGATAGTGATCATAGATTATCTCTGAAGAATTCATCTCATTTTGTCCAGAGCATTAGTAGTAGTTTTTTTATTTCATGGTTATAGATTTAATTTAGTAATTTTGTCTGATATTACTTTTTGACATTATAATCTTGGGAATAAAGCAGAATCCTACAAAGTCCCTAAAGGGATATGGTGGTGGGGGAAAAAAGAGAAAAATGAGAAAATATATATTCCAAAGCTTTCACATTTGCTTGCAAAACTTTTGCATATAGTGTCTTGGGGGAACACAAACATTTTTGTGGTATATATTTTTCCCACCATCATGTCCCTTCAGGGACTCCTGATCTTTATGTGCAGATATTTACCTTGAGAAATAAATTGACATGTTCTCATTGTGTCAGAGCATTATGGCTGAAATATTAATGTTCATGTCTTGTGGTTTGTTGTAATGTGTTTTATGTCTCTCCTTTGCCTCTTCCAGATAACGGTTTTAAAAAAACCCTTCCAGTGTAGGGAGGCCTTCCTTCTTCTGTACAAAAAACATTCAAACGAGTCAGGTATTTATTCAGTGATACTAATCTACAAACCAGAAACACATGAACAATCTGAAGGATAAACAGACTACTCAAGGAAAATAACCTAAACAATATCAATATAAAAGATATACACTTTTCTGAGAGGTCAAATCAAAAACTTTGGCATGTGATGACCTTGAAAATTGTGCACTTCCAACTTTCTCAACAGTTTTTAGAGGCGTTTTTCTGTTCAGGACAATGGCACTGTGCACACAGTGAGGTTTAAAATTAACATGAAAAGAGTCTTTTGAAGAACTTGACTGACCTGCACAAAAAAAAACAGAGCTGAACCTCATTAATTCTTAATTTTAAACCATATCATTTTTATCATAAAACACCAATGGTATCAACAATGAAATTCATTCATAAATGAATCATGCTATCCTTGATGTGTATGACTGACTTTCTTCTAATTAACACAACAAGGATTTTTCAGTACAGTAACTCATCTCTTTTGTTCCATACAGTCTAAAGGAAGTCAAAAGGGGCCACACTGTTTTAGCTCCAAAAAACACAGAACATAGAAAACAGCCTTTATTTACATTTTGAAGTGCTAAAACGTTGGTCCCTGTTGACTTCCACTGTATATATACTTGTAAAAAGGCACAAGGGTGAGAAAATAATGAGAGAATTTTCATTTTTGGTTGAAATATTCCTTTAACCATGATTTCAGATTCCTTATTGGGCAAACTTAAAATAGCCTTAATTTAACCCTTCTGTTTCAGGTGCGAATTCCCAACAAATTTGATAATCTAGATGGTCCTCAACGCCAACTGAATCATTCTGAATCTTTAATACAAACTGTGTCAAAAGTTGACAGTGGCAGTCGATAAAGAAATGAGATTCAAATATGGACCTCTAAATCTGACCCTGATCCTCAACCTGCAGAAAATGTTCCTCGTGATCCAGAGAATCGATCAGAAAACAAGACTAATGAGCCGGACTCAACAGCAAACACCCAACAATCACCAATTAATGAATCTAGACCTGTAACGTAACAACCTGTGACAGAAGAGAATATAAAGAAAAAACCCAGTGACAATCAATCAAGAGGCGAGACTCAAACAGATACATCTGGATCTAACCTTGCTCCTCAACCTACAGAAAATGCTCCTTGTGATCCAGAGAATGGATCAGAAGACAAGAATAATGAGCCTGACTCAACAGCAAACACCTAGCCACCATTTGATGAATCTAGACCTGTAACACAACCTGTCCCAGAACAGAATATAAAGAAAAAACCCAATGACAATGACAATCAATTCACATTTATTTGTATAGCGCTTTTCTCGATACAAATCGTTGCAAAGCAGCTTCACAGAAAATTAAAGTTTAGAAGTAGCCTATTAGTGGCGACTATGTCAAGGTGATGTCCATATGGCAGAAATGTACAGTAAAAATCATGCAGTTCATTAATGACATGTATTCAAATAGACGGTGAACACTATTAACAGCAATGATTATATGTTGTGATCAAACTTATAGCAACATTTGCTCGTTTTGTATGTTGGTTGTATGTTTTTATTTTATTTTATTTTTTATACATAAAAAGATGAAAAAATGTCTGTAATAAGTTTTTTAAAATAATTATTCCACAAGTATCTATATTTTATGGCAGCACAAGTGGCTCAGTGGAAAACACTGTGCCCTCACAACAAAAAGGTCCCTGGTTCGAGACCCAGCTAAGCCAAAAAGTCTTTACTTCAGTTCAGTTTCCCTCATAATCCAAAGATGTGTGAATTACAGATGCTAAATTGTCTGAAGGTGTGAGATAATATTCTTTCATTTTCATGATTTTTTAACAAACACACACTGTCTGTGAGTTGCTTTGCAATTACAAATGGAAATTACATTAAAATAAACTTGAGTTTTAATTTAATGCATCCTGAGAGTGTTTATTTGGTCCAGAAACCATATAAATTATGTCTAAATGAGACCTTAAATGACGTTGAAAATATGTCCACAATGACCACATTTGAACTCGTTTTTAATCTTGTTCAGAAGTTCCATGAACGTCTATATCGGGCGTGAAGAACACGTCAAAAAAGATGTCAAAAACTTTCATTCTGGCTCCTCAATGGACATCGTTTCAACGTGTGACAAAGACGTCTTTTGGACATAACTTTTCTCGACCCAGAGAATCAGTCAGAAAACAAGAATAATCTGCCTGACTCAGCAGCAAACACCCAACAAACAAATCTAAATCTGCTCTAAATCTAACTACTCTAATCTGAGTCTAAACCTATAACACTACCTGTTTTAGAAAAGGAAACAAACAAACAATAACACTGACAATCAATCAAGAGAGACTCAAAAATGTACTTCTATATCTAATCCTGATCCCCAACCTGCAGAAAATATTTCTTGTGATCCAGAGAATAAGTCAGAAGACAAGAATAATGAGACTGACAGAACAGCAAACATCCAACAAACACCATCAGATGAATCTAAACCTGTAATACAACCTGTGCCAGAACAGAACATAAAGCAAAAATAATAACAATAACAATGACAATCAATCAAGAGGTAAGACTCAAACAGGCACATCTGGATCTAACCCTGATCCTCAACCTGCATAAAATGTTTCTCATGAGAATCGATCAGAAGACAAAAACAATGAGCCTGACTCAACAGCAAACACCCAACAACCACCATTTAATGAAACTAAACCTGTAACACGGCTTATTTTAGAAAAGGAAATAAAGCCAAAAAAAAAAAACAACAACACGGACAATCAGTCAAGATGATTTAGATCAGTTTAGTCAAAATTGCTGAAAAATCACAAATACAGTCACTAGTAATGCGATTTACTGTAATTGCTTAGCACTTTTTACCAATACGTGGTGTTGTTATCAAATTATCATGGTGTGGTCAGGATGAGTTGATAATGACAAATAAAAAGTTTGGTGTCAATATGCCAAAGTGTTGCAGAGTTGAAGCCTTACAATGATCTTGACATAATGCCAACAATTTCGTTGATGCATTTTTCAAGAATTGTCTATCAAAAAGTAGGGCTGGATGATATGGTCAAAATTTATATCACGATTTCTTAATTTCGGTCGATATAATTCCGATATCGATATGAACAATATTAAAAAAAGCCTAAAAAAACTGCCAAGAATGCCCACAATGGATGTCTGTACCTACAAACGTATGAAAAACGAATTTGCTAAGTCTATGAAACCTCCTCCAATAAAACTATATTTTATATATATATATATATATATATATATATATGTATAACTATATATAACTAAATACTTATATTTTAGAAATAAAAATGATACAAATAAATTAATGTTCACCTTTTATTTATATTTAGCCTTCATACAAACAAGAAATGTGAAATCACCTTTAAATAAATATAAGACTCTCCGACTCACCTTATTAATATCTTTAACTTTAACCATAACATAGGCTGATTATTCTTATTGATTGAAACAAAAGTGCTTCAGTCAGGATAAAGAATATGAAAAGTGCTCAGAGTTGCTGCAGAAAACAGAAAAAAAAAGAGTGAGCAACAACAAAAACATGTTGCTGGAGAGAGGCTGATTGAAAATGCAAATTCATTCTCTGTCAGCAGGAGGCGCTTTTGCAGCGTCAGAAACAGTGGTTTCCCCAGTAACGGCAGTAAACAAAGCAGCGCCCCACTCATAGCTACTTTATCAGATAAAATGAAAATGCCATCAAAACTTTTCTGTAGACAGTCTGTTCCCTTCAAAGATACATTCACATAAACCACCCGCACCACGTTTTGATTTTGAAAGGTGCAGTGCTCATGTTTATTCAATGAAGTCAAACCGTCAAAGCCTTTTGGAAAATCTATTTGTGGCGGGCCGCCACAAATAATCAATGTATGGGAAACACTGGTAATGTATATTGAAATATCAGAAATGTGTTTAAAAATCATATCACCATTATTGAAAAAAATTATATTGTGATATGTATTGATATTGAATTATTGTCCAATAATTTTCAAAGAAATTCAAAATCACGGACTGCAAGTTCGACAGAAAATGGCATAATTGGTATTGATGTTCTCACAATGAGTAATCTATATTTTTTTTAAATTTCATTATAAATTTAGACCAGAATGTGGCACTGTTCAAATACTTTGCCATCATGGTCTGAAGATGATCTGAGACAATTTGGGGGAAAATTAGATGAACCATCCAGGAGGAGTTGTGCGAAAAATCATCTGGGAATAGATTTCGGTAGGCATTCGACTCGGCATGAGCCAAGGAATCAAAGGAAATGTTCTTTCTAGCCCTTATGGTTCAAAGGTTATTAGAATAACCTTGAGTGCAACTTTGAGCTGTAGGTGATGCTAGAGGGTTTGAGTTAAAGACTTCAGATTTGCTGTGGTTATAGTTAAGACCTATAGTTAAGTCCTCTATCTGTGTGCCAAATGTTATAACTTTCCCATAAGTGATTCTATGGGCTGCCATATACTCCCTACCGGAAGAAGCAGAAGAAGAAGAAAGCTAATACAATGACCTATCAGTAAGCCCCTCCCCTCGAACGCAGATTAGCCAATGGCAGTCGAGTATCAGTTGCATGGGGAGCGGAACTCGGATATCTGAACGTTTCAGCACCATAGAGAAACATTGGAAGATCCGAAGCTCGCATCGGTTTAATGGTGTTTATGCTACAAAAATGGAAAAACGATGTGCCTAGGGTACTTGTAACACTAATTCCAGTTATCGGTAGACAGGAAAATCTTTCAACACACAAAAAAAACAGAGGCAGTTTTGTTCAAAAGCAAGCTCAAAGTCTATTCAAGTGTCCATTAAAAAAAAAAACTAATTACAAAAATTTTGAGACAAAACACTGTAGAACGTCCAAAAAGTTTAACTATGAAATAGAGAAAAGGAAAAAATAATACCAAGTCCCAGAGCAATGGTTTAACCCTCAAAAGTACGCTCATTAAGTTACACTTTTCATCTGCTCAATGCAGAACGTTAATGTCATCTTGTGCTTCAGCAAGGTATCTCTGGCTAAAACTAGCTAACGTTAGCGTTAAAGTTAGCAAGTCCATGCTAACGTACAAACCTAAATAGCAAACTGTTCTCATTTCATGTTCCATGCAGTGAAAGTCATAAACACATAAACGAAGGTCTATATGAGACACAATAAAAAGTCTTTTAATACCTCCACATTCCCCCCCTGCTAAACCCTGCCATATACAGGACTCTCCAAGCAGGCCAGTTCCTAGAAGAAATAGAAAACACAGAACAGGTTCAGCAACACAACATTTTCAGCATTTGTTTCACATTTTCTTGAGGTAAGCAACATACACTTTGACATTTTCTCTTTTACTTGTTTTTGACACTCTAACCCCAAATTACATAATATAGTAATCTCTATATTTTACGTGCAATTTACCCTGTGTTTCTCATTTAGAACGTCTCAGATCAGGTACCCCACAGATGTCATTTTCTGGAGTGTCAGAGTTTTCAGATTCTGCATCTTGTTCAGGTTCTACTCCTTCACTCTCACTTAACACTACCCTCCTCCTCACATAACACTTCAACCCCAACCTCCTCAGGTAAATCTGTGCTCTGAAAGTGTGTAGGATACAGAGTGTAAACAATGTCATGTGGGTCAACATCTGTTTCTGACAACTCTTTTTCTCTTTCAGCACGTGTAACCTGTCTTGTGAGTTGATCCGGGCTGTTGTCATTGCGATTGTGACGAACGTAACATAATTCGCCCGTTTGCATTGTGATCTGTATTTTTACATATTTATTTTAATATCTTTTATATATCCCTCCATGGCATATTTAAGTCCCACTTGAGGGTCCATCTGTGTCCCACATTTATCAGAAATACCTCGGAAGAAGGTTTTCACTGACAGCTCTTATTGTAAGACAGTGAGCAACTCCGTTTGTTTGTCCGAGTGAGCAACAGTAACTAAGGGAGGCGGGGCAGATATATATATATATATATATATAGATATAAGAGGTGCATATGCCCCTTCAGTGCTTGGCCCCTAATAAACCAATGACAGTGACAATCAAATCACATGAACTGGTATTGAATATGAAAGATGAAGCAAAATAAAAAATAATCTTAAAAAAACAAAACAAAACAAGAAAGAACAGTTCACAGAAAATCAGCAAAAATCACTGTCAATGTGAATGCTTCCGGTAGACAGGAAAATCTTTCATCTTGAGCGGTTGCCTTTGCAGTCTCCACCGCAGTTCTCAGGCATTCATGGTGATTCTTTATGTAGGGTATCAGACCGAATCAGACAATCTAAGATTTGGTCAAAACATG